GAGAGAGGATGAGGCGGCAGATCAAGGGTATCGTCATTAACGAGGTCTGCAATAAGCTCTATACGAGGAAAAAAACTTAGACTGAAACGCCAGGCATCACTCAATCCTCAACATGCGGCAAAGAAATCCCTCCGCCCTCAGTCTTCTTTTGCGACAACACGTACCGAGGGCATATTTGTTGTAGAGGGCGTACTTCCTCGCCACTGAGACAGACTCGAGATAGGTAAGAAGTGCTATAGGAAGGGCGCAGATCATGACCTTGCCGAAGGGGATACCCTGACGTGGACGAGAGGAAAAGAAAAGACTCCGCGTTATAGCGAGGTTGCAGGTATAGCAAATGCCCGTGTCTATCAGCCAGCCAACCAGCAGCAGCCTGCCATCGTGTCGATCCCGTGAAATGGAAAGGAAGAGATCACAATCGAGAACGCAAGGTTGAAAACCTACCTCTCCATAAAAATCGTTGTTCAGCGCGGGGTATTCGAACTTATTGAAGCCGGCGGGGACTTTGCCTATAATTTCTGCGTCATAAAGATGAGGAAGCAAAGGTGGGTGGAAATGGAAAGTGGAAAAAAGAAGTGAGAAAATCATAGCGAAAGTGAGGCCCATATTGGTCTCGTATGCACACACTCTTTAGCTTCAGCCATTCATCTTGAGGTCCTCTTCGCATCCTTCCATTTCACCTTTCCCCTCGCTTTCATACCAAGTTCCATTCCGTTTTGGATGAGGTAATAGGAGACGGCTGTCGCGACAATGATGACGAGGAGGGTGGTGGAGGAGAGGAGAATGGCCAGGAAGTTCGCGAGCCAGGGCTTGCGCGTGCGGATGCGGCTGATGTGAGGTCTAGAGGACTACACAGTGTGGGGGGGAGGGGAGAAAGGGACAGAGAGCGAAAGCACGAGTAGTGAGTAGGCAGGCAGAGGGAGCACGACGATCTTGCCTATGCAACTGGGGCTCACAGAAAGTCTGCCGGGGGGAACGCTTTTTCTTTCCCTACCTTTAACCCTCCCTCCCTTTCTTGCTTCTCTACTCTCTCCCCATCTTCTTCCCTCCCCTTTTCCCTCACCCGTCGCAGTGTGTTCAGGAACCAGAGGGCGAAGAAAGAGGTAAGGCCCATGGCCATGGCTGTGCTGTTGCTTTCCGTGCGGATGTGCGTGATCAAATATCTGTACTCGTTGATCTGCACCGTGTCCCGGGGGATCTGCAGGAGGAAATGAAAATGAGGAAATGAGAAAAATGGGGCAAGAGCGTGTGGAAAGTGGGGGGGGGGGCGAGAAAGGGTAACGACCGTGCAAGACGCAAAGTGAAGGAGTGCGGGACACCGATTGCCTGCAGAAGAAGAAAGAGCCCTACAAGGCAGGCAGGGGTTTGAGGCCGGCAGTAGTTTGAAGCTTTGCACGCCTCCTTTCTCTATTCCCTCCGTGGAATTGTGCACTTACCTTGAAGCCCCAGATATATTTGCTTTGGGAGATGAAAATGTAGACGGCACTGTGACATGAGGAGGGAGATCGATATGAAAATCACCGTGGTCAGAGGAATCGAAGGGGGGGAAACGAGGACTGATCACCCATCCCAATGCGAGAAAGAAATTTGTGGGACAAAGTGCGCGCGGTGTGTGTGAAAACGTCGTTTGCCTCCTCCAATTAATAAGATATTATCACGTAACGACACCAATAGGAAAAGGGTCCTGCGAGCGCGATAAGGACGCTGGCATCGAGAAGACCATGACCTGAAAAGGAGAAAAAAACAGTGCCCTCACCTGCCTGTGACGAATCCCGTCAAAACGGAGGGGCTGACGAACTTCATGAGAGAGCCTACCCGGAAGAGCGCCATGCCGCAGAGCAAGACGGCGGCGCCGAAGGAGACCACTGCCGCCATCTGCCCGCGCACGAACGTGTGGTACTGGGCCTCAGCGTTCAGAATAGGGTCCTGAAGGAAAGGGAAAAAACGAGGGAGGGGTGGAAGTAGGGATGAGGTATTGTACGGAGGACAGGTGCACGTCCTGGAACTCGAATCTTCTGCATTCCCAAGGCCCTAAAACCACCTGGCTTCCATCCGTGAGGATCATCTCGCACGTCCTCTACGCCCCGTATCTGTCCCAGCCTTTCTCCATTTCTTCCTCCCTCCTCTGGTAGATTTTCCATCGCTTTACAGCGCCTTGTTTCTCCCTAGATCGACCGATTTCGCCGTCCTGTTCTCCATCCCTCCTTTCATCCCTCCGCCCCGCCTCCACCTACCTTGTCCTTCTCCGTCAGTGGTATGCCAAGACTGGTGAAGGTCTCGGACATGAAGAGGGACACGAGAGCCACGGGGCCAAGGGTCAGCTGTCCCGACGTCCCGAAGAAGGTGTAAACGTAACTGAAAGAAAGGAAGGGGGGGGGGCAAAGGCGGGAACGAGCCACGAAGAGGGGCGGGGGCCGAGGGCGGATGATCCATGTAAGGGGGTAGGAAGTAGCAGGAGAGGCAAGGTGAGCTAGAGCACAGAAACCGGGCGCCGAACTCCCCCCAAACCCTCCATATCCCCCCTTCGTCTGCTCTCCCTCCAACCCCTGAACGAAGCTCGCGGTGTCTCACCCGGCAATAGTGGAAGCATAGAGTCCGTAAATCGGCGGTAGGTTTGACAGGGCAGCGTAGGCCATACCTGGAGTGAAGAAGCAGGGATATGCAGAGAAAGCGATGAGGGACATCGGAGATTGATAGTTGAGTCTACAAATTTACGAAATATTCCCGCTCTCCGGTCTCCTTTCTGGGACTGCTTACCTTGTGGCACGAGCATGATACCAACTGTCAAGCCACCCTGAACCCCAATAAGGAGCGAGCAAAGTAAAGGGGAGGAAAAAGCAGAGGAAAAGAAAGGAAGAGAGAATGAAAGAAGGGAGAAAAGGACAGGCGAGAAGCGATCCAAACTGACAGGACGGCGTAATGAGTTTGTCACGAGATTCATGCGCCACCCTCCGCTGGAAGCCCTTTCGTTCAATCAATCACGTACCATTATGTCTGCAGGAGCATGCTTTCCGTACTTCCGCCACTCGAAGGAAACCCAGGGCAGGTAGGGGAAGGAGAGAAGGGAGATGAATTTCCGGCCCATGGACTCGATGGGCGGCATCTGCAAGCCTTTACGTCGGATATGCGGTGGGACAAAGCCTGTTCACAGAAAAATAAAAGTGTAGAGGGTGACCTCTGAGCATGGCGGCCAGGAGAGAGACTTTTGAATCGAGAGCCTGGCCTCGTCCACGCGGAGCGCACGGGCGGCAACGGGAATATTTGTCGTCTCTTCCAACAGAGCTTTGCCCTTCTCAACCATCCTCTCCATGAGTCTACAGATTCACACGTGAGTGGATCACGCACCGAGAAAATAGTCACGGAGATAACTCCGCATGCGCTCATCGAGGCCAATCCTGTCCGTCTCGTCTGATGTGGGGGGAGCTCCATCTCTTCTGCTGCTGGCGAGAGTCCCTTGCGCGATGAAGGGTGCTACGTCCACGACGATAGCATTTTCTTCTTTCTTGGCTGGTTCTCCACTGTCTATCGAAGCCATAGGGCGTCCTAAGAAGGTACCGATGTTGGGAAGTGTGGGTTTAAGATAAGCTCTCGATCATGTGATGTGAAATAGAAGCTATCACAGATTGCAGCAGGTGGTGCACAGTTCAGAGTCCCCTGCCGTGTGTCAATGCGTAAAGCTCGTATACCAAGTCGATGCTTTTTGTGCCACGATTGAGTCAATTCTGTAGCGTGCACAGGGTGCGGTGGACGACAGGCAGGACGTCATCGCCGACCCAGTCTGTGTGGCTGCGGGCAGGAAAAAGCGAGGAAGACGGGCACATACAGGACTGCACCCGTCTGCGCTGTGAACTCGTGAGGTGGGCACAAGCGCGCAGACACTTGGTTTAATCATCGTATTGATCATATAAAGGACTGAACATCCTGTAGTTACATTTGTCCTGGGCAAATTAGAAGTTATCACAGACAGAATTCCAGGAGCATAAGAGGGGCCTGAGCACAGGGAGACTTGCGGGAGTGGGGTGTAGAGGGGTGCCAGCACCCACAAAGCTTTGTCCCAGTCTATATTTCCTCTTATCAATGCCGTCAGTCTGCTTGTATGTATAAATCTAGTCTATTGATATAAATGGACTTTAAGTGTGTTTTCCCTGCAATTTATGTCGTCCACCTTGTAAAACATGCAACCTCCCCCCGTAAGACATTTCGAGGTCTCATCTCCTCTGTCAATTTCTCTACCCTCGAAACCGCATACCGTCATGCTACTTTGAATAATACTGCTCTCGAGAAGTACTATGTAACTTTTGCAGTGGACTGATTACAGGAACCCAACAACTACTGAGTGCAAAAAGGTTTGGGAAAGAGTGGAATGAGATGTCGCACTGGCAACGTGTTGATGCCAGACCCCTTTACGGAAAGCTTGAATAGGGAAGAATAGACTGTACTGATCCCGTTTTTTCCGAGTCATGGACATTCTTTCAATTCAAACGATCTGACAAGTTTCACTCTTTAGCCGCACGGGTTGAAGTCAGCAGCCTCAAAACCTTCCTACACGTCTATATATGATTCCGCAATCCCGATTTTACCCCCGTCCACCTTACGCACCTTTACTTCTGTCCCTATTCTCAGCCTTCGTCGTCTGCTACTTTACTGATCTTTCCGCTTCTTTCCAGCACCCAGTGGAAGGAATAAGCCTCCTCCTTGACACAATCATCTGTGGAAAGTCCTACGGCATACAGTATGATTAGGAGGAAGCTTCATTGGTCAGCCATACGGCTGTGCATCCATCGTAAAACGGGAACAAGATTCTATTTATTGTCGTTCATTCTGATATGTGGAGTGGTGTCACCGAAAGCCTTGCACGCGTTCATATATACGTTGCGTCCCCAGTAGCCATGTTGGCACGCGCACACGACAGTTCATTGCATATTTTGTGGCCGGATGTATGGCATGCTGCATTCTTCAAGGATAGAAAAAGAAAAGGAAAATATATAGCTTGGGTCTCATTCTCACGTAATGCACATTGCTCTGAGATTCTTTTGCTTCCCAAAAAAAATATTTACTTTCTTTGCCCCAAAGTTTTCCAATCCTACGTCCTCGTAATAATCAGCCTTGCCCATCTGCAGAAAATAATACACCAGCCTCGTAGAGCTCTGCAGGCCAGGCAGTAATCGTAGGGGCGTTCATCGACATCAGTCGACACGGACTGGAGAAGCCTCGAATGAGCCCACCCGCTACACCAGCGAAGCCAACACACGCTCTAGGGCCTCCTCGGAGCCCAAGATCCCTGGCCTAGTCACTGTTTCAACGCGAGGGTCTGCATTCACGTAGGCTTGCACGGATGGGTGCGTGATCGAGACAGCGATCCTCCTCCCGGACGCACAGACATCGGCCATACCCAGGTCGTTGTCGTCGTCAAACAAGACTACACACTGGGAAGGGTGCAGAAAAAGGCGAGGGAGCAGTCGGCTAAGGGCAGTCGCCTTGCCGGACGTACGAGGGTAGATGTCGGCTTTCCCCAGGTTGAAGGAGGAGGAGAGACCTAGAGCAGGAAGCCTGCCGCAGTGTGGAACAAGGCGAGAGAGGGCAATCGAACGGTGAGGTTGGCGAATACAAGTGCCTGCTTGAAGCACACCACTCCCCTTAAATGCTGTTGAAAAGTATATTCTCTATCCTTGCCTACCCCTAAGAAGATAAATCAAATCTTCCTTGTTCCACTCCCTCGACTCCTCCTCCCCTCCTCCACTTCCCGCGCCACCTCACCGACTCTTGACGCCCTCCCACTGCTCCCCCATCTTGCCCCTCGTATCTACCCGAAAACTCGTGTAATAGTCACGCCCGTCCACGCCCCACCCTTCTCCTTTCAGCTCCTCGTAGAGTCCCCAGAGCCCCTGGAGGGGCCCGACGGCCTCCTTCCACGTGCGGTCCCAGCCCTCATGCCCCTCGCTGTGTGCGTCCGACGCCAGGTCCAGGCGGGCGTTAGGGTCGTGAATGAGTCTGCCTCCGCCCTCGATACATTCGTAGTCTACCACTGGCAGGCCTGTGCGCCGACGCATCAGGTAAGTGCTGCTGCGCGCCCCGGTGAGCAGGACGAAGAGGCAGCCCTCCCGCCGGATCGCCTGCACCAGCTCCAAGGTCCGGACGGAGATATAGCCAGGGCCTGACGATAGGGAAGGGAGCTCGATGCAGGTGCGAGTTGTGCCGTCGGGCTGGTATCTCAGGGTCACGTATCGAGGGGCAGGGGCTGACGAACCCGTACGGCCTACACAAGGTGGGGCCGGCGGGGAAGAGGAAGCGGGTGGGGAAGGAACCTGGGAATCCGCGGAAAGCTCGGAGGAGGAGTGTAAGCACGTAGCTTGAGAAGGGGGTGCCGAGCCCCACAGGGGACCGAGGGAGACGGCGGCGTGCTCTTCCTCGTGCTGGGTGCTCGGTTGACCTGCCATCTCTCGCCGACCAATGTCCTTGAAAATGGACAGTGCTTCTTTTTCGGCGCCATCAAACGGAAGAATTTCATAGCTTTCTTTCAATAAATTGCCACCAAAGTGTAATAGCGTACCATCAAGGTCGCTGAAGACGCAACGAGGGGGAAAAGAGCCCTGGTGCGTACCCTCCTCCTGCTGCTGCTGCTCCTTCTCCCGCTTTTCATGCTGACGATGGAGACAAAGAAGGCGAACTGCCATACAGTGTGCAAGATGCTTAAGTTCAGCTATGTGAGCACCGGCGTCAATACTAGAATCATGAGGGGATGTCTCAACCATGAGACAACACAGGAAGGCGAGCACAAGACTGCCGAGGAAATGTTTGCTGGAAGATTCCAGCATGCAGCAGAACCCCAGCACCCTGTGCAAGTTGTGCAGGCGTGAAGAAAAATGCAGCATTGCCGGGTGGAAAAGAAGTTGTACAAAGCACGCAATGAGAAAAGCTTTCTCTTACTTCAATGGGTGTGCACGTAAGCGTTGGTAGGCTCCACCCTGAAGATACGTAGTCAGCTCTAGCCTAATATTTTGAGATGGCATGAAGCTTTCGACTGTACGAAGGACGAAAGCAGAGATCATAAATACTAAACAAAAAAGCAAGCTAACAAGTATCCTTTTCCTCATCAATTGCCACTAAGGAGACGAGGGGTTTTCTGTTCGCCGTCGACGGCGCTGACACTTCTACAGTCCTCATTTAACCTCCCAATCAAGTTTGAGTATAAACTTGAGTCGAGGGGTTCGATATTCATCTATTTGCTAGGGAAGGTAGACTAGATTTCTTGGTATTCAAAATGTTTGAGCATCTGTCCTGGGCTTGTTAAAGCCAGAAGGGTCAATTCCGGGTAGGATTGTGTGTGGAATGCCAACAGCAGATGCGCGGCTTACTAGAGAAATGATAGTCTCTTTTACATTTGCAATATATGGCGCATATTATTTCGATTGTCGATAAGTCGGATGTGTACCTCCCCAAAGACACAACCTCCATATTTCATGATCAACACAAGCAATCCAAAATTCTGTCGACAAATCGGCAACGCTTGGATCGCTGCTACTCTCGTTAATTTTCTCCTCCTTACCTTCCATTTATATCAAAATCATTCACTCTCACGCACGATTCTCGTGGAGCAACTCAATAATAAGAAGATTACATGAACCAACATATGGCTCCAAAATGTCTGAGAAGGAGAGATATAGAACGAGCAAGAACACAGGACTAAGGTAGGACAGGTCTATCCACTAGAGTTTTTCCGATGCTAGATTTCTTCTCTTCCCCCTCTGGGCATGCGTATGGACGTTAATATTCTTAGTTAAACGATACGAATTTGGAAGACCACTCCTAAATCAGTCCTTCAACATAAGATAATCATCAGCGTGTAGGCCGTCAAAATACTTGCCGGATATACGATTTCGGGCGGTCCATCTCAAGCAGGAAAAAAAAATGATATCTTAATCTGCCTGACTCGATCTTCTTACTCTCCCTGTGGCTACTACACCCCCTTTTCAACTCGCTCACGTACGACATACAGAGCGTGTCAGTTCTCTTTGCAGCGCTGGCACAAAAGCGGCTAGGTAGGGACACGTTGGACTGGGTCGGTTGATGCTGGCGGGGGAGGAAATGGGGTTGGTCAAGGCTCTAGACAAAACAAAGTGTGCTAGCGGAGATGGATGTGGACGTGGTCATGGCTCAAGCAGATGCTCGGGTATTTAGGGCAGAGGCTCGGGCAGCCAAGGCGAAGCTGGAAACCGCGACTGATCGACTAAAGGTCAAGAATCTAATAACATTCAGGTTGGCACACGGCATCGATCTTCGCCGCGCCATTGTTGAGGGCATCGAGGGGATGGCTAGAGGGCGCGCGTGTCCACACGTCGATGAAAAAAAAAGGCTCGACGTGTGGACTTGCACGCCCTCTAGCCATCCCCTCGATACACTTCCAATGGCGCGGCGAAGATTGATACCGTGTGTCAACCTAAATATTCTTAGATTCTTGGCCTTGAGTCGATCAGTCTCTGTTCATAGCTCCGTATTGGCCATCCGAGTCTCTGCCCGACGCACGCAAGCGTCTGCCCAAGCATCGCGTTCGTTTGCCTGAGCCTTGAACACCTTCAACTCCTCCTGTGCTGGTAGTCTCTTCTTCTCCTCTAGAGCCTTGACTACCTTCATTTCGTTCACAACTCATTTGAATCTGGAGTGAAATTAAATAATTTTTATAAATGGGGTTCAAAAGAAACAGAGAAAAAATTGAAAGATCAGGATTCATCAAAGCGTTGACGTGCAGTCTATTGTGCAAAGCCATGGGAACAGATTTTGTGGAAAATTCAATGTCCATACCTGCTTGATCAATCGTTCTGGCCAGCACTTTATAGAAGGTTTACCTGGCTTGCATGCCAATTCGAAGGGGTATGCAGATTTTTATGGTCTTGAAGAACAATGATCGCACTATAGAGGTTCTGCATATAAACAGAATTATACAAAAGCTTCCGCTGTTTATATTTTTGGGCTCAAAACTTCCACGATTTGGTGTCTTTTAAAGGTTCTCTTCTTGCGATCTTTCTCGATTTTACTCCCCTTACAAGCAGTGAAAGCATGATTTTAAGAAAAAAACCGAGTTATATGAGCTTTAAAAAGAGACAGAATCCAGAGAGTACTCTAAAAGCAAGAAAGTTAAAAAAAATGCCTGAAGCACCTCGCACACAAGATATGACCCTCGTTTGCCTCTTTACTTTCAATTTTCAAATGGTAGCTTGATGTAAGAATACTAGTGAACTTACAGAACAGGAAACAAAGCTACATGTGAAGATTGATTGCGTTTATGTGACGGTAAAGGCCCGGAAAAGAGACGAGAAGAAAGGGGAACGAGGCACTTCAGGAAATTCGAGCGGCATGAATGCATGAGCTTTCATCGATCCAAACTTCGCAATTCTTGTGAACAGAAGAAAGCATTTAGATGTGAATGTTGTAGTCTTGAATACTGTCCTCGCAGCATTGCTGAAAAAATAAGTCCTGCTCAGTTTCCTTTATTACTCCTTGACATCAGTTTTTTTTTTTTTAAGTAAAGTATCTAGAAAAAAGCTAGAATGTTGGTGGTGTCAGCGAAACCTTACAGAAGGATGACACTTACAGAGTTGAATTCAAAAGAAGGAATGAATGTGGGTCTCTTCCAGATTTATTCAGAGTGGGAGGGAAGAAAGAGACAACTGCCGAATCCAAATATTCATATTATCTATATTGTACCACAATAGGGCGCTACACAGCCTACCGCTGATGTAGAAGTAGCCTAGATTAGTCTTATAGAGCAATACACGATAGAGAATAAGAAAACAAGCCGCATAATCCTTTCCAGGCACGACCATATGCCCGAACCTGCAAACTCTCTTCGTCATAAAAAGTCTCGATCGCTTGAATTTATCGTGTTAGAGATTCATCGCTTTTCCAGGACGTTGAAGCTTAGCATGATACAAAATAATAAAATTTTCCTTCTCTCAGGCACTGCTACTTACCTTAAAATCTTGCAACTCGAAATCAGAGGAATTCTTTCACATATAGTTTTCCCGAGATTCGCCGAGGCTCCAGGCGTTGAATCGAATGCAGATTCATTAAAATTTCGGAATTCCCCCGAACTGCAAGCATGTAAGGGGTCCAGTTGTTCTACCAACCACAGTGCACTTTAATGGCTATTAAAACCCTTCTCATAGAAAGAGACAAGATCATAATTCAATTATGGAAGGTTTAGCAAGCATTCTAGACGTTTTTTACGTTTCAATTTAGGTGTACCTAATTGCCGCAAAGACAGCTCAAAACTGAATTAGAGAAATATGAAGGACTGCGTGAAGGTGCCTGTGTAGCTAGAGGCAAAATGGACGTGGTATATATCATCATTACTATACGTACATCTAGCTAGTGAAGTGCGGCTTTAAAGCTTGGTTTGCTCTTAGGTTTGTTGTCGACAGAACATGGGATCAGAATACATGATCACCACTCCATTCGGGAATTCACATATCATAGGGAACGAGCGCACATTACCTTACACAGGAATTCACAGATCAATCAAACAAGACACCATCATACAAGCTGTTGTGTAGA